TATCTAACTTTTAATAAATTAAGGGAATTTGGTTTAATAGAATGGTTTTAAGAGATTCAGATTTCGTGGAAGAATTTTAAAATTAGAGGGATTTGGATTGAATCTTTAATTAATGTGTTTAGCTTGTAGGATTTGTAATGGATTTGAATTTCATTCTTTATAAAAATAAATTATAAATAATTGTAAAAATTACTAATGAGATTTCAAAATCCTATGTTTGTGCGATTTTAAAATTCAGGAAATTTTTCAAACCAAATATTTTATCGTAATGTAATTCAATTCCAAGTATCTTCAAATTCAATCCAATCCTATAAACCAAACAGATAAAAGTTTACCAATCACATGTTTTCTTATAAAAAAAAATTTAGATACTCATTACATCTATTTTTATTAAATGGTTTTTTATATTTGTTAAGTTGAAATTTGAAGGTTTTATGATGAAAAATCGATTTTAACGGTTTAAAAATATTGTTTTGGTATTTGCATTTTTGGTTTAAATTATTTGTTCTGTCATATTCTTAAGTCATTGTGAACGCCTTTTACTTCCAACTATTAGTTTGGCAAGTGCAAGTTACATGTCATTTTAATAATAGCAAATTACATGTGTCTTTAGTCAGTTACATTTCTTTTTCGAACTGATTTGAACTGAATTGTCGATTTCAGTTTGATCCCACAGCTTAGTTGTACAATTCTTTAATACAGTGTGTAAATAAGACATTCCATTATCATATTGTAACAATAAACTATATATAGCATCGGGTTCGAGTACATGAACACAAAGACTAATGCATTTTTATGTGAAAACTAGGGCTCTTGAGCTTGTCGATGCTCACAACGAAAAGCCAAAAAATGCCCATAATATATGTATATAAAAAACGATTCGAAGAGGTTTGGAACCTAATCAAGCTAGTTGGTTCATCCTCACGCTGATTTTTATTAAATATAACAAAAATGATACAATGGTGGAACATAAACCAAAACCTCGTATAACAAAATAATACGTCACCTAAAACAACTTCATTTCTTTGCAATCACTTGTGCTATTAAAGTTCTCAATCACCTTATCAAGCTCTAAAGTGCTTGTTATGGTTTCGTGCGTTCATTGAAGCAAAATATCAATCACTTTATCATAGTTAATATTTGCTAAGAACAATGTTATTGTTAGATTCATCTAGCCTGCAAAATTATCAAGTTTCCATTTTGACTGTAGGCTAATAGAAAAACATAAATGATGGCAATCCTGCCAAATGGCAAAATGAAAGTAACTAGATAATTATTGAACTAAATAGTATATGGTATGTAACATTCCAAAAACTGGAACAACAAAAATTTCCATGAATGCTAGGAATTTGGTATATAAATATTAACATATGAGTTTTACCCAAAACAGCGAACAAAATATACCAGTTAATTACATTTGTAAATAAATTGGTTTACGACTAACAACCTCCTAATCTAATCCTTATAATCAAGTGTCACCCAATCCATCAAAATATTACATCAACATTGGGCATCCCAAAAGTGCTCCCCAAAGCTCTCTACAAAGGGCCAATCAAGCCTGCTTAGAAACCCCACCACTAAAACTGAGATACATGTCGACACAAAACAAGTGTCAAGCCATAAAAAACCTAGTGAGCATCCATGTAATATAAATAACAACAATTAATTAGTTAGTTCCATTTATAAGCCATGCATATCATTCATTTGGAAACTATGGGGGAGACATATATCTATTGAGAGTGAGGGGAACACAAAAGTATACCACCCATATAACGTTGTCGTATGACACTTCAAGACGCATCGTCCAAGTGCCCAAATGACCTCATAAAAAGTTTCACCTCAAGAGTTGGTTGACCTTGGTGTCTATTCCCACGAATAATATCTCAAGGCCCAAGTACACTTGATGCCTACCTCCAAGGTAGCACCTCAAGTGGTGGAGGTCTTAGTGCCTACCTCTAAGGTAGCACCTCAAGACTCAATCCTCCTAGTGCATACTTGAAAAGTTCATACAAACATAAAATATCAAGTGGGGATATTCATTTATTCCAAAAAAGGAGATACACTCAAAATCTCATAAGAGAAGGCTAGTAAATATTCCACCATACTTATCATATTCAATAAAACCGACAATTATGGTGACCCCAAATTAGGTCAACAATTTCACATAATATGAGTCATATGGGAGTCTCAAGATTATAACATAGCTTTCATATAATCATTTTCCAAATAAAGTTTAATATGAAAGTAACTAGAGGTATGTCCTCAAAAATGATAGTTTCCTTTAAATGCACCAAATGTAAACCAAATAAGGGTATATACCAAATAATCAACTAAATAGTTAATACTTGAAATAAAAATAGGTAGGCATTTTGACATGTATCTAGTTTTATAAAGCATTTTAAATTCACTTGTTAGGTTTTTAAAGAATACCTAGAAACTTAGAAAACCTTATACATGAGAAGGAGATCTTGAAGCTTGATCCCATACCTATCTTAGAATCTCCTAAGGGTTTGGAAAGGATCGATCTTTAGCCTTAAATGCTTCACCAACCGAATACATTGAGGAAAGGGAGACGTAGATATGAGAACTAAACGAAATAAAGGCTAAAATTCGCATTTAAGACATTGTTGTGATGTGAGACCCTGGCATGCGACCCTAGGGGTCATGGCATAAGGGTCGCTCGCGTCCTTGGTGTCACTTAAGATAGAAGAAATGCAACATTATGCGAGGCAAGTGTCGCAACTCAAGTGGTGTTGATTCCCAAACCTTCTAGCTACGGTACATCAAATGCGACCCTAACATGAGGTGCTAGGGTCGCACCTTATGTAATAACTTAAAATATTATTTGAGATTTTTTTAGAGTCTTACTTATTTTTTTATTTTTTTTTATTTTTGGCCATTAGAACTATTTATGGCCTAAAAACGTAACTGTCATAGAGGAATAAATTGGTTTTAAAAGTGGGATTAATTGTTTTGTAACCGACCAATTAAATGGTAATTAATTGGTAAGGAGGTTACGAGGTGTATATATAGAGGCGATGAACTAGTGATTTGGTTCCTTACTAGAAAAATAGACTTGAGGTCAATAGCTAGAAGGCAAGAGCACAAAGTCGAGACTCAAGAGCTGTGTGTGCGTGACGTTCATCAGACGAACGATTGAAGCTGTCAATCACTGTGAGTTTATGTGATGTTTTTTTAAGGGTTGCATATTTGATTAATATAAATTGCAAGCTTGTTGTGTTTTATGTTTATGGTTTCTGCGTGGATGTGCTTTGTGATAAAATGTTGTGTGGGAAGTGAGGGGGACTGAACTAAGGATTTAATCCTAAAANTATGTTTATGGTTTCTGCGTGGATGTGCTTTGTGATAAAATGTTGTGTGGGAAGTGAGGGGGACTGAACTAAGGATTTAATCCTAAAACAAGCACGCTGTGTGAAGCTTGTTAAGTCGTAAGAGCAGACATGTTGTGTGAAGTCCGCCAGGCAAGCTGTAAGAGCGAACAATGTGGTGTGAAGTTCGCCAGGCAATGCTGTGTGATATAGTCCTTTCCCTCTTACTTCTGTGTTTTATGAACTGTGCGAAAACTGTTTGCTCACTGGGCTTTAGGCTCACTAAACTCGTGTTTTCAAAATAATGCAACCAGGTCACTACTCGTATGGAGATAGTGGCAAGGGTAAAGAGAAGATGTAGAGCCTGACTGTGCGTGAAGAAGATAGGCTGGAAATGAAGTTTAGTCGTGACTTGTCTTGACGAAGAGTAGTCAGTTGTGGGTTTAAGCAATTGTTGTATGATCAGAAGAAATTTTTAGACTTCCGTTGTGATTTATGTTTAAACTGTTTCAATACGGTATTTTATGTAAGTTTCTAATTTTTAAGATTGAATTTTATTTATGATTTGAGGTTAAGATAAAGATCGGATTTTGGGTCTTTACAGGTGGTATTAGAGCCTTAGTTCTAAGAGAAATAGGTTATGATTTTAGCCTAAACTTAGACAGAATTAAGGTTGAAAAAAAAATTGAAACAAAATTGATGAATTTGGACTGTTGTTCTTGCTGTTAGTGTGCTTGTTGTTAAGTGATGATTGTGTTAAGGTTAATAGATTTATCGCAGTGAGTTATAGGAAAATGGTTTATACCAAGCGCACTAGAAGTATTGGAAGACGAGGACGTAGAGAAGTTGGTCTAGGACCAAGAAGAGGATGAAGAAAAAATAGTTAGCATATGAACTATGTGTGGCTAAGTTTTATTGCAATAAGTTGGTAGCCTAGAGCTGCGATATCTCAGTGTTTTCTTTTATTTAGTATAAACTTGTTAAGTATGAGCTGATTGACATGATTATGGAATGAAATAAACTTGTGTTGGTGTTTAAATCTTGTTAAATAGTTGTGGAATGCTAAGTTGTGTATAAGAATAGTTATTTATAATCTGTTATACGCATATAGTTAACAAAGAAGGAATGTATCAACGATCGAGAAGGACTCTATCGGTCGCTCCCGATGCCGAGGAAACACCTCTGGTCGGGGCTACCCCTACTGTACCAGGGGTGATACCAGCCTCTGTTGCGGCCATGAGGACCGCGAGCACTAGAGGCAGAGGATGAGGCAAAGAAAGATCGCAAACAAGACCAAGTGAGCCAGAGCCCTCGGTACAAGAGAGCTTTGCATCGGGCAGAGGTAGAGGCCGAGGCAGAGGTCGCACACGGGCAGCGACCACCACCCCTGTGGACCTTATTGCTCAAGAGGTGTCCAGAGCTCTGCAAGCTGCTTTGCCTGCTGTTATAACACAAGTAAGAGAGGCAGACCAGAGGAATGAAGAGGCTAGAGAAGCTAGCGTGGTAAGAGAAGTGGTTAGCAACATCAATGATAGAGAAAGGTCAAAAGCTAATAGCACTAGCACGGGACAGAGGGGTTGTAGCTACAAAACTTTCTTAGCATGCAAACCCCAACCATTTCAGGGTGAGTCAAACCCAGTTACGGCCCTGAGATGGATAAAGGAGACAGAGATGGTCTTCAAAGTTAGCAAATATGCAGAGGAAGACAAGGTGACTTATGCTGCTTCCATGATGAAGTCTGAAGCCCTATTCTGGTGGGAAATAATTACCAGCCTAAGGGGCGAAGAGGCTGTAGCAAAGATGTCATGGGATGAGTTCAAGGTGTTGTTCAACAAGAAGTTTGCCCAAGAACTGCTGTAAAACAGTTGGAAGAAGAATTCTTGAGGTCAGAACAAGGAAGCTTAACGGTCAAGGAGTATACGACCAACTTCACAGAGAAGGCTAGATTCTCTGAGCATTATGTATCCACTGAGGAGAGACGGGTACAGCGTTTCATATGGGGATTGAAAGCATCCATCAAGGAGTTTGTCCTCACTATGAAACCAACTACTTTCCAAGAGGCTGTGAATGCAGCCGAAGTTAGAGAAAAGGAAATGGTCCGCCAAGAATCCGAGCGGGGCCAGCTGAAGAGAAAATGGGAGGGTTCAAACAACGAAGCCCGAAGACAAAAAGTTGGGAACTCGGAAAGGAAGGTATGGCAAGAACAATCGGGCAAACCATGTCCTAAATGCAACCTTGTGCATAGAGGAGAATGCCTGGTTAACCCCAGGGTCTGCTAATGGTGTGGGAAGGCTGGACACTTGTCCCAAGACTGCAGAATGGAACGAAGAGAGAGATTATGCTACATCTGCAAGTCACCCAATCATGTGCAAGCAGACTGCCCGCAAAGGAAGAAGGATGTTACGACCATTCAAGGAGGAAGCAGAGGTGGGAAAGGAGAGGAACGACGACCAGAAGCACCAAGACCAAAAGGGAGGGTGTTCCAAATGATTGCAGCCAAGGCTGAGAAAACCCCGGATGTGGTAACAGGTATCTTCCTGGTTAATTCTGTACATGCAAAAGTGTTGTTCGATTCTAGCATGAATAAATCATTTGTATCCACTACTTTCTTCCATGACTTGAATAGAGTAGCTAAGCCTCTAAGTTCAGCATTAGAAGTAGAAACTGCTGATGACAACAGGGTAGTGATTAAGGAAGAATATGATGACTGCATTATATAGGTAGATGGTAGTTCTATTCCACTCAAGCTGCTCCCTATGACACTAGGGGAGTTTGATATAATAATCGGGATGGACTGGTTAGCTAAAAACCAAGCCAGAATCCTGTGTAATAAGAAGATAATCCAGATTGAGGTACCGGGTAGTGGGAGATTAATAATCTATGAAGATAGAAGGGATAGGAAGGCTAGCATGATCTCCCTACTCAAGGCCAGACGATGTATAAAGAAAGGATGCCAAAGTTATTTGGCATATGTGATCAACGTTAAGAAGGAGAAGAGTGCGATGGAAGATATTAAGGTGGTAAGAGACTTCCCATAAGTCTTCCCGGATGACCTGACCAGTCTTCCGCCAAAAAAACAGGTGGAGTTTCAGGTTGATCTGGTACCTGGAACTGCACCTATTGCCTGCGCACCTTACCGACTTGCACCATCAGAGATGAAAGAACTGATGACTCAGTTGCAAGATCTATTGGACAAGGGTTTCATACGCCCTAGTACATCACCTTGGGGAGCTCCAGTGCTGTTTGTCAAAAAGAAGGATGGTACAATGCGAATGTGCATTGACTACCGGGAGCTCAACAAAGTGACTATCAAGAATAGATATCCGCTTCCAAGAATTGATGACCTCTTTGATCAACTTCAGGGTGCAAGTTACTTCTCGAAGATTGATCTACGATCGGGTATCACCAACTAAGGGTAAAGGATGAAGATGTATCCAAGACTGCCTTTAGGATGAGGTATGGGCATTATGAATTCCTGGTGATGCCATTCGGAATGACTAATGCACCTGCAGCGTTCCTAGACTTGATGAATAGAGTCTGCAAACCATACTTGGATAAGTTTGTCATCATTTTTATAGACGACGTTCTTGTATATTCACGTACCAAGGAGGAGCATGAGGAACACTTACGGGTTGTTTTAGATCTACTAAAACAGGAAAAACTGTACGCGAAACTCTCCAAGTGTGAGTTCTGGCTACGAGAGGTGCAATTCCTTGGTCATGTGGTGAACCAAGAGGGAATAAAGATCGACCCAACCAAGATAGAGGCAATACAGAGGTGGGATCCACCCTGGACCCCTTCTGAAATTCGAAGCTTCTTGGGTCTGGCCGGTTATTATCGAAAGTTTATTCAAGACTTCTCAAAGATAGCTACCTCTTTGACAGCTCTTACTAAGAAAGGAGCTAAGTTCGAATGAGGGACAGCTAAAGATGAGGCCTTCAAACTCTTGAAGGAAAAATTGAGCTCTGCACCAGTCCTCAGTTTACCAGCAGGAACTAAAGGTTTGGTGGTCTACAACGATGCCTCTAAGTTGGGCCTAGGTTGTGTGTTGATGCAGCAAGGGAAGGAATTGCGTATGCCTCCCTGCAGTTGAAAGAGCATGAGAGGAGGTATCCAACTCATGACTTGGAATTGGCAGCGGTGGTATTTGTACTAAAAATTTGGAGGCACTACCTCTATGGTGTAAAGTGCCAGATCTTTACTGATCACAAGAGTCTCAAGTACTTGTTTGATCAAAAAGATCTCAATATGAGACAATTAAGATGGCTGAAGTTGTTGAAAGATTATGATTGTGAGATCTTATACCACCCCGGAAAGGCCAACATGGTGGCTGATGCTAAGAAAGGGGTACTCCACTACGTGTTAAGGCTCTAAGGATGGAGGTCACCACTAGCTAGATTGAAGACCTGAAGAAAATCCAAGAGGAGGCCTTGGCAGAAGAAAACATAAGGAAGGAAAGAATGGTGGGGGCTAGTCCATTGCTGGAAAACAATGGTAATGGACTAAAATGTTATAAGGGTAGAATTTGGGTTCCTCGCTTGGGAAATTTTCGTAGCCAAGTTTTGGACGAGGCCCATAAATCTCGTTACTCCATCCATCCTGGAAATAATAAGATGTACTAGGATTTACGAAAATCGTATTGGTGGCCAGGGTTGAAGAAGGTATAGCTCACTATGTTGAGAGATGTTAGACATGTTTGCAAGTGATTGTTGAACACCAGCGACCGTTTCGTAAACTTCAACCTTTGGAGATACCCATGTGGAAATGGGACCACATCACCATGGATTTCGTGACTAAACTTCCCCGAACACCAAAAGGTTTTGATGTGATATGGGTAATAGTGGACAGACTCACCAAGTCTGCCCACTTTCTGCCTATTAGAGAGACCTACTCAATGGACATATTAGCCAAGTTGTACATAAATGAGATTGTAACCCGACATGGGGTTCCATTATCAATAGTCTCCGACAGAGACAGTTGATTTACATCTACATTCTGGCGGAGCTTCCGAAGAGAGTTGGGTTCTCAAATAAAGCTTAGTACAGCATACCACCCGCAGACAGATGGTAAGAGTGAAAGGACCATCCAAACGCTGGAAGACATGTTGCAGGCGTGTGCTATTGACTTTGCGGGGTCATGGGAAAGTCATCTTCCCTTAATAAAATTCTCCTATAACAACAGCTATCATGCGAGTATCCAAGTCGCACCATGTTAGCTTTATTTTTAAAGCTAATAATTAACTTGAAAAAGTTTCATGAAACAATCCAGAGCTAGAAGACGAACTGAAGAAGTATATGTGCCAAAACGTCTAAAGTCTAGAAGACTAGCCTCTGTGCTAAAGAGTCCCGGATAACCAGAGCTTCTTTCAGAGACTACAGAGCTTCTGTGAAGACCAGAGCCTCTGTGAGGTTCTATGCGGAGCAGAATTCTTGGACTCCAAGTCCCTTGGACCAGAGCTTCTATGAATGCTCACAGAACCTCTGGTGATGCTAACAAAGCCTCTATTCTATTTGACAAGAGACTCTCTGGCTGTGCCGTCCTCTGTTATCTTTTAGATGACTACCTTCAGTTTCCTTTATCTGGATAAGGCTACTCCTGTTCTGGATAGCATTAATTTTATCCAGGTTTGGTAGGTTACTGCCTATAAATAGAGTGTTAGAGATAGAGAAATATGTACGAGAGCAGATAGAAAAACTTCATTGTAATACATAGATTCAAAATCATATGAGAGTCGATTAGGGTTTCTTGAGAGTTTGTAATCTCTACTTTCAATAATAGAAAAGCAGCCGCTATTTCTCTGTTTTATCTTCTTGTTTACTTACTCTTACAAACTTCTAGTGTAAATCGTTCTACTGTCAGATCTGGGCTATAACACACCATATGAAGCTTTGTATGGGAGGAAGTGTCGAACACCCCTGTGCTGGAATGAAGTGGGCGAAAAACAACTTTCGGGCCCAGAAATTGTGCAGAAAATGGCTGACAAAATTCAGTAGATTCGGGAAAGGCTGAAAATAGCTCAAGATAGACAAAAGAGCTATGCCGACAAAAGGCGAAAACCAATAGAGTTTCAAGTTGGAGACAGAGTAATGTTGAAAGTCTCGCCTTGGAAGGGTATAATAAGATTTGGGAAACGAGGAAAGCTGAGCCCTCATTATATTGGCCCCTATCGAATAACAGCACGTGTGGGTGAGGTTGCATATAAGCTGGAATTGCGTGAAGAGCTTCAAGGCATCCATCGCACATTTCATGTGTCAATTCTGAGAAAGTGTTTGGCGGACGAGAGCTCTAAGGTAGCTCTGGAAGATATAGAGGTGGATCAGACTCTGAGCTACAAAGAAAGGCATCTTGGATAGAAAGGTGAAGAAGTTGAGGAATAAAGAAATACCTCTGGTCAAAGTCTAATGAAAACATCATAAGGGACCAGAGGCAACGTGGGAGACAGAGAGTGAGATGAGAATAAAATACCCTCATTTATTTACGTAAAGCAAATTTCGAGGACGAAATTTTGTTAAGGGGGGGAGTTTGTAATAACTTCAAATATTATTTGAGGTTTTTTTAGATTCTTACTTATTTTTATTTTTATTTTTGGCCATTAGAACTATTTATGGCCTAAAAACGTAACTGCCATAGAGGAATAAATTGGTTTTAAAAGAGGGATTAATTGTTTTGGAAACCGACCAATTAATTGGTAAGGAGGTTACGAGGTGTATATATAGAGGCGATGAACTAGTGATTTGGTTCCTTACTATAAAAATAGACTTGAGGTCAAGAGCTAAAAGGCAAGAGCACAAAGTCGAGACTCAAGAGCTGTGTGTGCGTGACGTTCATCAGACGAACGATTGAAGATGTCAATCACTGTGAGTTTACATGATGTTTTTTTAAGGGTTGCATATTTGATTAATATAAATTGCAAGCTTGCTGTGTTTTATGTTTATGGTTTCTGCGTGGATGTGCTTTGTGATAAAATGATGTGTGGGAAGTGAGGGGGACTGAACTAAGGATTTAATCCTAAAACAAGCACATTGTGTGAAGCTTGTTAAGCCGTAAGAACGGACATGCTGTAAGAAGTCCGCCAGGAAAACCGTAAGAGCGAACAATGCTGTGTGAAGTTCGCCAGGCAATGTTGTGTGATATAGTCCTTTCCCTCTTACTTCTGTGTTTTATGAACTGTGCGAAAACCATTTACTCACTGGGCTTTAGGCTCACCAAACTCGTGTTTTCAAAATAAATGCAACCAGGTCACTACTCGTATGGAGATAGTAGCAAGGATAAAGAGAAGGCGTAGAGCCTGACTGTGCGTGAAGAAGATAGGCTGGAAATGAAGTTTAGTCGTGACTTGTCTTGACGAAGAGTAGTCAATTATGGGTTTAAGCAATTGTTGTATGATCAGAAGAAATTTTTAGACTTCCGCTATGATTTATGTTTAAATTATTTCAATCCAGTATTTTATGTAAGTTTCCAATTTTTAAGATTGAATTTTATTTATGATTTGAGGTTAAGATAAAGATCGGATTTTGGGCCTTTACACCTTAACTCTCGTCCGACACTTTCGAAGCCTCACTTACAAGCGTCACATGGATTGATTTTGCCTAAGAAGATATCTAAGCACTCTAATCCTCTACATAAGCAATAAAAGCCAATTTATAATTATATGTATATATATAATTTGAAATTATGCTTACCCGAAATTTCGTGTATTACAATCTGCCCTACCTTAGAA